GCAGGAAGCATGAAGTGCTCTAAAACTTCCTAGTATGTGGCTGCGTTGACCCTGGACCTCAGAAAACACAATGGACCAACACCAGCAGATGACATGGCACCCCAAACCATCACTGACTGTGGAAACTTTACACTGGACTTCAAGCAACGTGGATGAAGTGCCTCTCTTCTTTTCCTCCAGACTCTGGGACCTTGATTTCCAAAGGAAATGCAAAATTTACTTTCATCAGAGAACATGACTTTGGACCACTCACCAGCAGTCCAGTCCTGTTTCTCTTTAGCCCAGGCAAGACGCTTCTGACGCTGTCTGTGGTTCAAGAGTGGCTTGACACAAGGAATGCGACAGCAGAAACCCATGTCTTTCATACGTCTGTGTGTGGTGGTTCTTGAAGCACTCACTCCAGCTGCAGTCCACTCTTTGTGAATCTCCCCCACATTTTTGAATGGGTTTTGTTTCACAATCCTCTCCAGGGTGCGGTTATCTCTCTTGCTTGTACACTTTTTTCGACCACATCTTTTCCTTCCCTTCGCCTCTCTATTAATGTGCTTGGACACTGAGCTCTGTGAACAGCCAGCCTCTTTAGCGATGACCTTTTGTGTCTTGCCCTCCTTGTGCAAGGTGTCGATGGTCGTCTTTTGGACAACTGTCAAGTCAGCAGGCTTCCCCATGATTGTGTAGCCTATAGAACTAGACTGAAAGACCATTTAAAAGCTTTTGCAGGTGGTTTGAGTTAATTAGCTGATTAGAGTGTGGCACCAGGGGCCATCAATTTTGAACCTTTTCACAATATTCTAATTTTCTGATATGATGAATTTGAGATTTTCATTTGTTGTCATTTGTAATCATCAAAATTAAACAAAATAAACATCTGAAACATATGAGTTTGTATGTAATGTATGAATATAATATACAAGTTTCACTTTTTAAATGGAATTACTGAAATCAATCTACTTTTTCATGATATTCTAATTTTATGACCAGCACCTGTACATCTGCTGTGGACAGCAAAGACCATCAAGTTGGTAAAATATTATTATAGCTTCAACTGTTTAACTGCATCCAATATAACAGATATTCTATCTGATTAAACATTTTTTTGTACAATTGCAATAATGAGTTTGCTTTGCTGCTTTTTTGTAGCCCCAGAATAAACCTAAAACAGTTTTTTAGCGTTCAGACTGAATCTGACAGAAGAATAAAATAATGAGCAGATCAAACTTAAATTTTAAGAAATTAAACAATATATTTTAGATCTAAATCAGACTTCTACTAGACTGAAGATGAATCATGATGGGTTCTAATAATCTGACTCTCCTGTAAACTCAGAACTACAAAACATTAAAAAGAACTGAATGGGTTTAATCTGAATTACAGAGTAAACTGGAATGAACTGAACAAATACGTTCTTAACCTGATTCTTACTAATGAAACCCTAATTGGATTAACCTGCTATTAGATGAAGTTAACGAAACAGAACCAGGTCTAGTTAGGGGAGGAGATTGTTTATAGATTAGAATCGGAATCTGACAAAAAAATATAATAATAACAGGATTAAGCGCGAGTCCAACCTAAATCCAGCTCAAACCGGGTTTTAACTGGAATGGGTTGAAGTGAGCTGGATCGAATCGTTTAGGGTTAAAGTTTGAATCAGTTGAACTGAATAGAATTTAAAAGGACATTTTTAACAGAAGAATGTCTTATCAAAATAAGTAATCACAGTTCTTCACAATTTAACAGTTTGACCAATTAACTGATAAATAAAAAAAACTATCAGATTCTGGATGATTGGTAGATTCTATTCCAACCAATGATAAAGCTAGAAAGCTTATTCAGCAAATCCATTTTCCTCCACATTGGGATTAAAATAGTCTGGATTAAGATTAGTAATGTGTTAACATATCAATCATCCCTGTAAGTATCCTGTATGCCCTGGGATGTCTAGTGCCATTTGTTTGGTCACATGATAACAATGTAGCACAGGACTGAGGGTAGTTTAACTAAAGCAGAGAACCAATGTCAGCTGTTTGTCTCTTTAACCCTTTATAGGGATTTAGATCACTAGCATACCCCTTACAAATGAAGCCCCGCCGTCCCTCAGTGAGGTCTTGAAGCAGAAGATCTATATCCAGCCAATCAGCAAAGATGCTGCTACAGGGCTGTACATCTGATTTTGGCATTTTACCAATTAGATGAGCCCTTGAATGATATATTATATACTGTAAATTAGGTTAAAAAAAGTTAACAAGTCAATTAAAGCTACAGTGTGTAATTTTCAGCGACATCTAGCGGTCAGACTGCAGACTGCAGCAACATGAACGTCTCCCCCCCACCGCTTCTCCCCCCCAACAGTACGGCGAGCGTTACGGGACAAAATGTCTTCCACGACGTCCGCATCACCTACCTTCTCAAGTGATGAGGTTTGTTTACATAGATAATTTTACAGATAGTATTTCATTAGTCTGTGTAGGGTATAGATTTCATGTAGACTTAAGATAATAAATATACCCGTTATTTTTTCTACGTCGTTGTGACGTTTTGGTGAGCTGCTTTGCATGGCGATATAAACAGACGAAGTAATTGTAGTCATTAGTTTAACAGCGAGATTGTGTTCGCTGGAAGAATATATATTCCCCGTTTACAGAGTCCAAGTCTTGTTTGTGGCACGGGGGTTACAAGGCAAGGAAGAGGGAAAGGAAGAGGGCAGAGAGGCCGGGGTGAGCGTGCAGCTGGGGCCAGGCGAGAGAGGGGAGCCAGCGGGGTGAGAGCAGAGGAGGAAAGGCTTGAAGATCTCCAAAGGAGCCGGAGAGAAGTAACCGAGGTATATATCCAGAAAATTATTTTACAGAAAATTACTGAATCATTACCTGTGAAACGTCAGGGACGTTGCTGAATAAGTATACTGGAGAGTAACAGCATCATCACGCAGCATGTTATTGTTTTAGACAGGTCTGAGCATCCTGTACTCCAAAAACTGCAGTGATATTAGACAATTGTGTGTATAGGATTAATTACCTGTCCAAGAGAAAACTGGCAACTTGAGCGTCACTTTGAAAACCTTTTTCCTCCATCAGTGACTTCCATCGTGTAAATGCCGTGCCAATGTTGATCCGTGTTTTTTGTCGTTTCTTGTCACTCTTGCGTTTATTCTCGTCGTGTTTCCGCTTCTTAGATGACGGGGGTTCGGTGTCCGCCGCTTTTCGTTGTGATACAGAGTAGACATGATCCTCCATTCGTCTGATGTTTGGCCACACAGTGCCAAACAGTTTGCAAAGTCACTCACGCCTGCCGCCTTGTTTACCTTTCTTGTTACCGAGGCGCAGTATACCTGCTTCTTCTTCTTCTTTGGTTTCAGGCAGACTAAACGCTTCTCAGGCATAATACTGCCATCTACTGTTCAGTACCGTCTCAGTTCATCTCTCTCAACTTGCCGTAGTTATTTTCGAGCGTCATGGGAGATCTCGCAATCGCTAGTTTGTTGCCTCTGCGCTGCCGTAGCGCAAAGATGTCTGCCTCCATGGCTGCGAGACCCGCTCCTATGTAATTATAAATAACGAATTCTAAGGCAACGCAAATGTTATGGTTAAAAGGCTGAGCTCATAGGTGATGATAAATAACATAGTTATGTATAATATATTAAATTTCTGAATTTATATGCCTGTAATTATTACACACTGTAGCTTTAAATGGTAAAAAGCTAATTGAAAAGTTAAAAAGTTCATTAGCCTAGTTAACAATTATATTTATATTTGTAAATTAAAAAATTTGCCAGTATCAGCATTAATGCCTCTAAGATTATGTTTTACCAAACAAAAAAAGTGTTTTTTTTTTGTTATCAATTTCTTATAGAAGCACTTTTGTTATTTGTCTTAATATATTTGGGAAAGTTGACATTTCTTGTTATTACATTGACATTTATTATTTCCATCAAAATATCCAAAATATTTGAATGTTACAAAGATAATAAGGTCTTGTCCTGGATTCCAACAAGACTATTGGCTGGAAATGTTGATTTTCAAAGTATTCAACTGATATATAGCATATAAAGGAAATATAATATATGTTTTTTAAGTATCAGTTATCATCAATATTAACATGTGAGCTTATTGTTCATCTGTAGCTACTCCTAACACCAGTTTAGATGCACTGCACCTTTAATTTGTGTCCTACATCGAGGTTATTTGTATAATTTAAACTGAATTTAAGGAATATATCAAATTAAACCATTTAAAAAAATACTTTAAATGATTTTGACTTTTTTTCTACACCAATTACAGTAAGAAAAGCGTAATATGTGGATCATAGCGCCCATCCCTAATCTGGGTACAGCAGGTTCAGGTGTAACACAGCAGCTACTCACCAACTTTAACACTTCCTCCTCGCGCTGCTTTTCTTTTATACATTTCTAAAACCCCGAACTGAAGAAGATGGAAGCAATAAAAACGGCATTTTAACGGTCAGACAACAAACTGACCAGAGCCAGGTCTGAAAAGAAAACCTTTCTTCCTGCCAAGAAGCAGCCTGAAGGCCAACAGTCACCAAGCAACCGAAAGCTAGCACAGAATAACCCGGACACCAAACCCACCGCTACACCCCCCCCGAACCGAACCGAACCCCGCAGAGCCGTTAGAGGTGCAGCGGCTGGCCGAAGCTCCACAAAGGAGACAGAAAAGGAGAAAAAAAAAAGGCGAGAGAAGGAGCAGCTTCTAACGGCTAAAAATAAACCTGACAGACAGGAGGAGGGGGGATGGCGGAGCTTCCCCAGGTTCAGCTGCTTCTTATCGGGGAGACTCCCTCAGCTTCCCCCTCTGCTCCAACCAGGAGATCCCAGATAAACCTGCTGGAGCTCAGGGGGGAGCCAGTCTGGGGCGGCCAGGTAAGCTAGCTGACCTCCCCGGGGAGGTTTCCCTGCCTTCCTGGGTCTGGATCAGATCAAGGCCGGGAAGCAGCCTTGAGGCAGCCGCGCTCAGAGGCCGCTGCACCGGGAAACAAGCTGTGCTCACCCGTCGGGAGGACCGAGGCTCCGGGCTTCTTGGTTAACATGGCGGCCGCTCCTCTCCTCTGGTCTCCGCTGAGTAGGACACCTCCTCTTCCTCCATCTTCAGCTCCTCCTCTTCCTCCTGCCCTCCCTGTGTCTCCTCCCCCTCCCTTTAAACCAGCCTGGTCAGTCAGCACGCGCCTCCGCCCTTTCCTTAGGTTCGGGTCTCGCACCAGAAGCGCATCTATAAAGCCTTAAAAAAGGTGCCCCAATGGGGGCCCACTGGTAATATAGATAAAAAGTGTAATTATACTCGCCTGATAAACCAGACTATATGTGAGATTAAATGTGTAATTTAGTCTGGCCCGATGAATGAGACATCAGAAGATTGTTGAATTAGAAAAACCCCTTATTTTTCAAACCATGTCTATACCTAACGCTCTGACCAAAGATGAACTGACGGTGACGTACTAAGAGCGACAGAAAGCTGCGGGGGAGTGTAAACAAACAGCCTGTCGTTAAAACGGCGAATACGTCCTTCTTAAAAATGGATGAATGACCCAACAATAGGCCCGTAAGCAACATTATCTGGGCGGACCCCATATGAAGTACAACACCCCATCCCAGCAAATGGTTTTAATCCACGCTCTAGATTACCCATAATTCCAAGTCGTATTTTAAAAAATAAAATACTCAAATACATCATTCTTTTAAGATCTTTATTGCGGTTTGAAACATATTATATGAGTGTATTTTCTACCAATCGTCTAATGAACTATACAGTTATTGACATAGTGATTAAAAGTACCACTGTCTGCTTTGCTATTGTTGTCGTCTTTTTCGCACCATTACATCTGCAAAGATACCTCCTGGTCCACAATTGTGTAGATGGCCTATCAGGTGTCAGGAGGTCGGGGCCCCTAAGCAACTGCAGTCTCTGCTTAGCGATATTTATGCCATTGAATGAGCGTAGAGCCTCTTCCTGCTCACACTGCATGAAAAGTGGGATTTTCGTCAATATGCGGCACTGTAGATTGTCGTGGAACTTCAGGTTAGCGGCAGTTTACGGCAATTTGCAGGCTTCGTCGAAAACTCCCGTAAATTGTCAGAAATTGACGTGGACTTTCTTAGGCAGTGTTCCCCCCATGCCTCCCCCCCATGGAATTCTAGGGGAGGCTTTAACATGTAAATGAACATGCTGTGAGCTATACAAATGCAAATCAGGGTTGCAGGGGGGGTTTACTCCAAGTGACATTTTTCTAAAAGGTAAGAAAATCTCTGATACAAAGAGATCAGGCTCAGTATAGCCTCTTACATTTTAGCTTGAATTGATTTATTTAATTAAAGTATAGAGACCAAAACAGATCTTTAGCTGACAGAGCAATACATTTAGAGCAGTATGCTTATTTAAAAAGAAAAAGCATTTAAGATAAAAAATAAAATGTTGTCTCTCAATATGCTCAATTCACAATTACTTAAGTAGAAAAGTTTCAAGAAATGAGTCTGAGATGATTCACTTTATAACATGGCGCATTATCCTGTTGGAAGTAGCCATCAGAAGATTGGTACACTGTGGTCATAAGGTCCGGCCAGGTCAAGATCCGCAATTGCAATCGCACCAAACAGGAAAAAGAACATCGACAAATTCCGGTTCGTCAAATTAAAATATAGCAGCAACAGATCGGTGACTAGAAATTATAGCACAATTCTTATATATAAAAAAAAAAATTAACACCGTTTATTTAAATTATTGGATCCAAACTATTGGTTATTCACCAACGAGGAAGCAGATTTCTCATCTCCATCAAAATATTTATTTTATACCGAGGGACTTAAACTTTAATCAAATCCATTCAAAAGAAACTTCTTATTACAGAATGAAAAGAGATGCTGAGTTTGGGAGTAGAGAACAAGTTCATTCAAAAAAAGCAGTTTTGAATTATCCTTATCCCCGTTACAAAAATCTACAAAAATATATATATATATATATTTGGGCAGAAACTGAACATATGCTGGATGATGGTGGGATTTTTTTAATATGTAATATTAAATTAAGCGCTCACAGGGTTCATACAGGAATGAGTGACTCTAATTTAATGCTATTTTAATGCTATTTGAAATGATTTTAATGCCATCAACAAGAACCATGTACACAAGTTATTAGTGTACATGAAATATGAAGGAGCTGTAAGCAGAGTTCCATGACTCCTGTATGTATGTAAACACACACACACACACACACACACACACACACACACACACACACACACACACACACACACACACACACACACACACACACACATATATAGGTATATATATATATACTCTAGCTTTTTCTCAGCCTGGAGCGATATAATATATCTGACGAAATTGTTTTTATAAGCATTTTTTATTAAAGAATTATAAATACTTCGATAAACATATTTAAATATTTTTAGTGCAAATTAAGGCCTTGATTTAAAAAAAAATGAATGATTTTTAAATTATTTTTATTGATCCGCGGAAACCCTGGTTCATCTCGCGCATGCTCTTTACGATCTCCAAGAAACTCAGAGCGGCGCGGCTGGATCCACAGTGGAGGATGGATGCTTTGCTTTGTGCAGGCGGTCTGGAGCGGAGTATGTGGGATTTCGGGGTAAAACTCCTCTTGGACGCGATGGCGACTCTGCATCGAACAAGACGAACTCAAAGAAGAGAAGCGGTAAATATATGTTCGATTACTGCCTGCAAGGCTAATAGCAGCCTAGCCTAAAGCTACGGCTAATAGCAGCCTAGCCTAAAGCTACGGCTAATAGCAGCCTAGCCTAAAGCTACGGTTAATAGTAGCCTTGCAAGAACAAGCTTTATTAAAGTGTATTTTTTATGATTCACAGGAAGCAGTACGCCGTCTTCACAACTCGGAGACTAATTGCAGGCACTATGAACCGGAGCAAGGGTTAGATTTAAAGAATATGCTTTCATTCTGCGGTAAAAGGCAATGGATACGGATAGATACCGATCATAGCTGTACATTTTGTTTTCACAGACCTCCTATTTGCTCGGAGTCATATCAGCAAGTCCAGATTTGCGCAATGTTGATAAAGACGACATTGTGTGTAAGTGACTTGTTTTAATGTTTTCTCCTTCCTTGTTACTGTGACTTGCGTTTGATTTTTTATTCGGACTCATGTCCGACGAAGAAGATGGCGTGGTTGGCGGTGTCTCTGGATGGATTGTACGGTCGCCGCCATTTCGTAGGCCGGATCTCACTGAACTCTGTGTTAAGCTGCAGTCCAGGTTAGAAGCGATGCCGAAGTACAGGGCCACGCACAGTAGGCGTCTGCACATCGGACCTGCCTTGGAGGGAATGATGCCAGTTACCTCCAACCCCGAGGAAGCAAACGGACCGTTCACTGAGTTGTAATTTTTAGATACGCATGTGTTTGGATACGCGTTGTATATAGTTGTGTGTGTTTTAATAAAGCTCTTTCTTTGCATAAACAGCTTCCTGGCAAATGTTCATTTCCTGTATAAATTCATTCATGTCCTTGATGGTAGCCTAATAATTGTGTAGTAGTGTAGGATAACATAAATACACAGCATACGAATGAATAAATATATGAATGAATAAATATATATTCATAAATACATATTCATAAATATATATTCATAAATATATATATATATATATATATGTAAATTTATATGTAAATATATATATATATGCCAACCAATCACGAGCGACTTTACTTGTTTAAAAAGAAGTGGTTTCGTCCAATACTCAGTAAGAAAATTAAAGCCTGGCGTGGCCACGTTTGGTTTTGCTGCCAATCACGAACGATTTTACTTGTTTGAGAATAGTGGTTTCAGCCAATACTGAGTAGGTTATTCAAGCCAGACCTGGCCAGCCGCGCGGGTTTGCTGCATTCATATGCTAATTAGGGCCATTAGTACAGCTGATCGCTATCCACATACGTCAGAGTCCGTTTCCGACAATTTGTGGCAAGACAAACGCGGACAAGCACGGGTTGCAAATTGTCGGAAACTGACGAAAATCAGGGAGATCTGCGGGAGTTTACGGGGGTTTACGGGGACGAAAATCTCACTTTTCATGCAGTGTCACGTTTCAACATCAACAACAACAAAAAAAGTCTAATGCTTCCAAAACTGATTCCAAAGCTGAGTCAAACGAGAACCGTTCGATACTTGTTGCCATTTTCCTTGTTGTGCTTTCTCCAGCGTTGTGCAGCCTTGTCGTCCCGCCCTCAAAACCCCGCTCACTTTGCATCCAGAAATTCAAAACACATCTCTGAGTTGTGATTTTCCAGCCAGTTCTAGGGCCTGGGGCATTGATTGAGGCTAGACCAAACTCGCAGGCACCCTTAGCCACTGATTGGCTAAAGGTAGCTCCTGGCCCCCCATCTAGCTCAGCCCCTGCTTAGAGCTGTAATCATACCAAAATTGTAAATCAAAAAAGGAAACATTTTGCATTTAAAGGTATTGTGCAGGATTTTCTCAAAAATTTTAAAAGAGCCGCCCACTCAACTTTAAAATAAAATGAGTGCGAGAGCATGCACAAGCCCCTTTGTCCTCCTGCATGCTCTGTTTAAAAACTGCTATTCTCATAGCTCATACAAGCTGAGTCTGAATGTCCGCTCTAAAGCCTGGTTAAAAAATCAGAAACCAGGCTGTCTGCATGTGAGTCGCAGTTAATGCAAATATCCCCCAAACAAGACACTCTGCTGCACCTCCCCTAAATTGTAGGTGACCGCAAACAGTGCCGCAGACAGGAGGCCTCTGATTGGTCAAATCTACATTCGCTCTACACTATGCGTATTTCCTGTTTGGTACCTTACCGGCTTGTTTTGTTTGTATGACCTCCATTGTGGAAAATGACTCGTGAAGATGGACCAGCTAGAAGAGCGAGGTGCGTGAGAACGCCGGGACCCTTTCTCCACCTGGATCCCCGCTGTTTTTCACCCTCATGTCCCTCCGTTTTCACACAAACTTGTCCCCACTTCCTCACCGCCTCGGCCGTATCTAGACCCACAGCTAGTTCCTAATTGTCCCTCTTGTGTTGTGGCGTGGAATAACATAGCGCAGACAACGCTTCACTATTGGGCATAAATCCCAAAATAACTGCATCAAACTCACTGCGAC